GTTTAAAAAAGTAAGTCCCCCCCCCCCCCAAAAAAAACCCTGTTGTGTAGGACTGGAGGACAGACAGTGGTTCCTGCTTCTACTGAAATCAGTGGGCTTCGAAGAGTGTAGCTTGGCTTTGAATGGCACTGTCAGGGTGTCAGATGTGTGAGATGGAGGACCAGATGCCTATTGGACACACTGGTTTTTTTTAAAAAAGAAGATGTTTGCTTGTATTTGAATTTGACACCAAACCACACACTGCTGAGAGCAAAACCAGACATGGCTAGGTCTGCCAATCCCAAATTGGGGAAATCCTCTCTTTGCTTTGACCACAAGAAAAATTAAAGCAAAGAAATCAAATAGTACCATTGCAACTAAGTGAGTGTTCTTAAAAGGTCTTATCGGATTTAAATAGTATAGGCTGAGGTAGTTCTAACAGGTTTTATACATTTTATAGAGGTTGATTCCCCCCCCCCTCTTTTATCCTATGTTATGCACAAACTCTCTGAGAGTGTTTGATATTGTGAAGGCCTATGGCCACATACAATAAAGTTGGGAAAGTCCTGGAAATCTGGGGTTGGGGGCCTAGGAGGGAAGGGTTTGAGGCAGAGAGGGACCTCAGCAGAGATGTGATGCCCTAGGGTCTGCCCATCGAAGCTGCCATTCCCTCCTCCGGGAGAACTGATCTCTGTTGTCAGGAAACCAGCTGTGATTCCAGGTCTCCAGGCCCCACCTGGGGGGTTGGCAATCCTAGACATGATGTAGATCATGGCTTTCTCCTGTAAAAGATAAATTGTTCATGTGTTCAGCCCCAGTTTTACTCAGAGCCACATGAGAAGGGGAAAGGGAATAACTCTCTAACCCCTGATTTGTTCTGCTTATCAAAATTGGGTTCTGCTCTCAGGTTCCGGGAGGTGGCCTCTGCTTTGGGGTAAAGCATCTGCATGTCATGCAGAATATCTCAGGGTCAATCTCTGCCATCTCCTGTTAAGAGGAACGGGTATCAGGTGATGTGGAAGACCTCCAACGTAGACCCTAGACAGCCACTGCCAGTTACTTAGTTAATACTCTCCTTGATAAACCAGTGGTCTGATTTAGTATAAGGCAAGTGTCATGTATTCTCTCTTACTAGCATTAAAGAAGGAGAAAAGCCATGCCTTCTTTCCTTGAAAACACTGACACTGAGGTGTCAATTAGCAAAACTAAGCAGATGCTAAAGGGTTAAATCCCTTCTTACTTTCCCTAGCAGCCCTTGATCTGTGTTGGCCCATTTCCCTTTTGCAAATGGATACAGATGTGTGATATTCTTTACAGTGTGCTTCCAATGGAGGAATGCGTTGTATAATGTCACATTGCCTATTGCAATGTATCATCCTTTACTGCATTTATAAGGCACTTTCTGCATAGTGGGATGTCATGCCTTAGACAGTTGGTTTGCGTTGTTTACTATTTCTACAACCCCAGTCCCACTGGACTGCTTATCGCACATATTACGCTGTCTGCTGGAATTGTTTTCTATATTTTTAATCAGCTCTGGGTCATAGTGAGGAAGAAAGGCAGGGGAAAGCAGAGTTCATCTTGTTTTGCTGGGTTCAGAATGGCATATATTGTTATTGGGGCTGTTTATTTTTGCTTCAGCCCCCAGAAGCACAGTGCCAACAGCTGCACTTCCCACTATTCTATTAAGATGCAATCTGTGTGCATTCTTCGTCCAAACAGCCCACGCTAAATCGACAGGACTTAATCCAGCTTTTCATCCCTTTCTTAGCATCCATATTGATGACCTGTCCATAGAAAACAGTGAGGTTGACTTCGAGGGAGACACCATTAACATTGATATCCAAAACGTCTCAGCTTCCTTCAAAGGAACTCTGAGCTATGGCTATTTAGGTGCCTGGTGGTAAGTACTCTAACTGAAATCAAGGTGTGCCAGGGAGAAATGGGTGTGCGTTTTGGCTTTTCAGCTGGGTTGCAAAAAAATGAGGACATTTGGTTTGCTTGTATACCAGCTTCTTATAGCACTACCACATTAATGTGAAGTTTTAATCCTCTTGGTCTGTCTATCTATCTGTCTGTCTTTCTTTTTTTTACAGCTCTCTGTCTATCTATCTGTCTGTCTGTCTCTCTTTTTTCCCCCATCTTTCTGCCCAATATCTATAGGGGAGAGGCCACAACTCAGTGGTATATTTGCTCTACACACAGAAAATCCCAGGTTCATTCCCTGGCATCTCTGGTTCAAAAAGGATCAGGCAATAGTAGGTGATGTGAGCTCTTGGAAAATCGCTGCCTGTCAGAGTAGACACAATTGACCTTGACCATGGCCTGACTTGGTATAAAACAGCTGCTTCTTAAAAGCGCCATTGCTTAATGGCAAAGCATCTGCTTTCCATGCAGAAGTTCCCCAGTTAAGGCCCCGGCATCTCCCATTAAAAGGATCACGTTCCAGTTCTCTGAGAAAGGAACTTCAGAGGGAGAATTCAGTGTGGAGTTGCTACGTTAGAATCATTCATCAACAGATTCAAGGTCATGAGTCCCTTAGGGTTTGAATAGTGACCTGGGATTCCTAACTTACTATAAGTGCTATTATTGGTCCTTCTAATCCAATATTGCTTATTCTGATTGCCAGTAAGTCTCCTGGGTCTCAGGCCTGGCTCCATTCGCCAAGATCTTTCTACTGGAGATGCCAGGAGTCATGTATGCAGAGCTTGTGCTTTACCGCCTAGCTATGGGTCTTCCCAGTTCTTCCTCTCAATGCTCTTTCCTCCTAAGCAACCCTGTTGCAGCTCAGCTAAGAACATCTCTGCACTGAACTAAACAATGTGACTTGTCAATTCTCTTTTGTGTTGCTCCTGGCAGGCTGAAACTCGTTCATTTGATTGACTTTGAAATTGAATCTTCCATCGATCTCCAGATAAACAGTAAACTGAGTAAGTACTCATGGAAAGGCTGTACAGTTGTTTTGCAAGCTAGGAAGACCAGGGCATTTTTATCGTTTGAGATGGCGTCACTGCTATTTTTTTTTAATGATAGTCCTCAGAGAAAGAAGCTTCAAGGGGAAATTGCAACATGAGAGTTCATTCACAAGTTCAGAATAATGGACACCCTCCCCATGCGGGCTGAATAGGGACATAGGGTCCTTATCTTAATACAGATGCTAATTTTCTGCCCCCAAGCATGCACTCTCTGCTCCAGTCAAGCTGATTACAGTATGCATTGTGCCTTTGCATTCTTTACATTACCCCTCAGATCTTACTTATGTTTGACAAAGGAGCTTCCTTTCGCTCTCAAAAACTTATACCCTGAAACTCTTGTTGGTCTCTAAGGTGCTATTGGACTCAAATTTAACTTCTTCTACAGTAGACCATCACAATCACTCTCTGGAACTGCCTATATATAGGCAGACCAAGGGTTATTAATACAGCACAAGGCTTCCTGCTCTGAGAAGCACAGAGGGAAGGGCGCATCTAGCAAGGCACATCAGTTTTCCAAGAGGTTCTTCTTAAGTGTGACATAAGCTGCTGTCACACTGGCAGCTTGCTGCGATATGGTGCCGCTGCTAATTAAACTGGTTGAAAGTGTTGCGGGGCATATCAGCCACACGGCTCATCCTGCTGCGGGTTACCCATCCACATTATTGTAATGCCTCAGCCACAGAGCACGCTGCCAAAAAATATAAAAATTCATGTGTGCACATAAGTCTTCATGCACACGCATATGCACACATGTGCTTATGTGCATGCGTGCACGTATGCATATAAGCAATTTTTAAAAAAATAATCCTCCCTTGTGGCAGAATAGATCTTCAGGTTCAGACTACCAAAATCCATTCTGTGTGCGCTCCCCCGCATTCAGACATCCGGCCATGCTCAATGACTGCGCAGGAAACTGAAAACAGCATTTGTGATGTGGTGCCTTTTTAACCCGGCTCCAAGTCGTCCTGTGATGGGATAAGTAAAGGGCTGGCTCGCTCTTCCTTCGCTCCTATTCTGACCCCTCCGGAAAGTCTCCTCCCACCCCCCCCCCCCCCATCTCTCCCACTCTCCACTCTGCATTAAACAGGCCTTCCACGATCCACCCGCTGTCGTGCGTCTGGCTCTGAATTCGAATCCCCTCCTGCGGTTGGTGGGAGATGTGTCTGTCTCCCCCCCCCTGGTCTGCCCCCTTTAACCCTCCCCGTGCTGGAACGGCGCCCGCTTTCCCTAATAGGGCATTTTCTTGGCCAGCGATCTTCGGGGGACGCCGCCAAAAATAAAGCTGCCGCCAGCAAGAGGTACCTGGACGCCTGGGTTCCCTGCACAATGCACCCCATTTCGGGAAGGCCCCCCTCCCTCAGAGAAGCGAGAGAATCACCCTCTTTCCATATGGACTGGCTGCTACGAATTAAAATTATTGGCTTGCTCCTATTTTAGAATATGCAATGGAACTGTAAGTAAGTTTAAAATTATAGTTATAAGTGATAACAATATTATTATATTCAGCTTCATGTTTGTTTCTACTCCTCATAAATATGCTTTTTACAGGATAATTCATAGAAGAAAACACCTTCCAACTCCTAATGCATTCACTTTACAGAGAGTTACCGGCCAACATGTGAAAGGGAGAGCAAATGCCAGCCAATTTAAAGTAGGCTTGTTGCCACATAAAATTATGGACTGGCTGCTACGAATAGATATTTAAATTATTGGCTTGCTCCTATTCAAGAAATGCAATGGAACTGATAATTCATAGAAGAAAACACCTTCCAACTCTATAAGAATTTTATAAGATTACTCTTGAGGAAGACCTTTGAAATGAGTGTATACTCATCGAGTAAAGAGAGGAAAATGCTGGACTCTGTTGAAAAAATGAATTAGTTGGACTCTGTTTTAATGTAAAATTGAGATAATGAATAAGGTGGACTCTGTTTCAATGCTAAATTATTAAATGTGTCATTGTCATTGATCACAGTGGTTTCTTGTTTGTTGGCTTGACCCTGTGGTGAAAGGCAGGAAGCTGTGCCCAACTAAACCAGAGTTAACTGGAAGCCTTTCTTTCCCTGCTGTACAGCATGCGAAAAGGAGTATGTGGCGGTTGTCACCTCGGATTGTTATCTGACCTTCCACAAGCTGATCCTGCACCTCCAAGGAGATAAAGAGTATGTTGTTTCAGCTGAAATGTGCAGTAGTGTTTGGCATTGCCCAGTGAGGTGGGATGAGGGAAGGATTTCCACATTTGTTACACACGTCACAGTCTGCCCTTCGGAACAGCTGCTTAGCGAAATAGACAAGGACAGACAGGCAGAGTCAGTGGTGTGAAGTTCTGGGCTGAAGCAATGCCTGTGCATATGGGGTTATGTGTGTATATGCCTGAAGAACCAGTGCAGAGCAGTGGTTAAAAGCTGGAGTTATGGACCACTTGCCAATATGAGCCAGTTCTAGCAAGAACACAAAAAGAACCCTGCTGGACCAGACCAATGGTTCATCTAGCCCCACATCCTGTTTCCCATGGCAGCCAACTGGTTGCCTAGGAGGACAGACAAACAGGGCACGGTGGCCAATGCCTTCCCTTGATGTTCCCTTTTATGTACAGGTTTACTGTCCCTGAATGTGGAGGTTCCCTCTCATCATTATGGCTAATAGCCATTGATGGACCTTTCCTTCATGAATCTATCTACCCCTCCTTTAAAGCCATCTACACCTGAGACCATATCCACTAAAAGTGGATCTCAAAATTTAATTACCCATTGAGTAAAGTAGCATTTCATTTTGTCTCTTTATAGCCCCGGATGGCTAAAGCAACTTTTTACAAATTTCATCTCTTTTACCTTGAAGCTGGTTCTCAAAAGCCAGGTAAGAAGCATGCTGTACATATACGCCTCGGAGAGCGTTACGCTCTGAGAGTAGGGCTGCCAAGTCCCCCCGGAGGGGTGGATAATCCCCCGCTTTGGAGGCCCGATTTCCGCTGCCGCGGAATCGGGCCCCGGCACCTGGTGGAACATGCTCCCTATTGAGATCAGGGTCCTGCGGGATCGTATGCAATTCTACAGGGCCTGCAACATGGAGCTCTTCCGCCAGGCCTTTGGCTGAGGCACTGGGTGTCCACATATGCCCCCTCCCGAGGTTGCAATCTCCCACCTACTGATAACCGGCCATACCGAGTTACATCAATGGGCCGGATTCTCCCTACGGCAAGCATGACTACCTCTTTTATATGTTTTAATGTGTTTTACATTTTATTGTGTTTATTAAAATGTTGTAACCCGCCCTGAGCCCGTTTACGGGATGGGCGGGATATAAATGTGAAAAATAAATAAATAAAAATAAATAAATAAATGCTGCAGAAGTGCAGGTGGCTGGCAGTGTCCATACTAAGCTCTGAAAGAGCAAAGACAATACAGCCCCTGATGGACTGAAGGCTCGACTCAGTAGAGGGCAGCTTCTTCTGTTTTCCTTTGTCCATTTGTATGGCCCAGAGCCTTGTAAGCAGTGTTCCCTCTAAGCTGAGTTAGTGTGAGCTAGCTCACAGTTTTTTAGCCTCCGGCTCACACATTTTTGTCTTTGCTCAGGAAGGATGGCTCCAGAGCAAACTAATTTCTGCAGTGGCCAAATCGCTCGCTCACAACTATAATGCCAGTAAGCTCACAAAGTAGAATTTTTGCTCACAGGACTCCACAGCTTAGAGGGAGCATTGCTCGCAAGGCAGTAGAACAGCATCAGTTTATATGAACTGTTTCTGAGCTTATTCAGTTCAGCTTGACTGTGGCCTATGAAAACTCAGATGGGATGGAATCAGCCTACCATCACTTGTTGTGTGAATAGGTTTTCCAGATGTCCCCAGTTTCCATAATGCTTGGCTATCCACTGACGGCCAAGTAATGCAAATGTTTATCAGTGTGTATTCTGATGGTGGTTTGTGCCATCTTGTCTTGTTCTTGCGGTGGTGGAAAATGCCGCCAAGTCACAGCTGACTTATGATGATCCCGTGGGGTTTTCAAGGCAAGAGACATTCAGAGGTGGTCTGCTATCGCCTGTCTCCGTGTCATGACCCTGGTATTCCTGCAGGTCTCCCATCCAAATACTAGCCAGGGCCAACCCTGCTTAGCTTCCGAGATTTGATGCGATCGGGCTAGCCTCCTAGGCTATCCTGGTCAGGACGTCCTAGCCATAGGATAAGAAAAAAATGTTTTGAAGTATGTACAAAACAGAAAATGTTGTTGTACTACCAAGATGCTCACTCAATGACCTTTAAAATATGCATTTCTGGCACAGTCCGCCAAATACAGATTGGAATTTTCAAACTTGCAAATATGGGCCAAAGGAAAAGATTGCCCTGCTGATGGCTAATACTCCAATAGTCTTTGGTCTTGTCATTTTTACGGAAGTTGTGGGTTCATGAGGAACTGTGGGGAAAATGGTTAGAGGGCTGGAGAACTGCCCACTTCAGGATAACTTCTCGTGGGGCTTGTGTGTCATGTGCCCTCAAGTCACTTCTAAGTTATGGCAATCCTGTGAATGAATGACCTCCAAAATGCCCTATCATTAACAGCCTTGCTCAGGTCTTGCAAACTGAGGGCCATGGCTTCCTTGGTGGAGTCCATCTGTCTCATGTTGGGTCTCCCTCTTTTCCATGTTCCAAACACCCTTTTCTTCTTTAACTCTATACCCAATATCCTAAAGGCAATGAGCATGCTCAGTCTTTTTTTTTCTTTTTGCGAGATGTGGTATTTAAATTAACAATGTAATATTTTCCTGTATACCTATGCGATTCCCCCAACACCAATACAATGAAATCCTACCTGGTCTTTAGGTGGCGCCAAATCATGTCTGACTTATTTATGATTAGAAGTAACAAGCTTAGGGGCCCACAAAGTATTACAGGGGCATGCAAATAAAACATACTAGGAATTTCTCCCCACCCCTAAATCTTCCCCTCCTCTGTAAACTCTCAGATGTAAGAAAAGGCAAATTCCCCCTCCCGTCTGGCCTCCCCTCCCCCTCAGTTAGGGTCACCAGGGCCGATTCCGCACTAATGCTTTGCACATGTGCTTATGTGCATGCGTGCACGTGCGCATATAGGCAATTTTTAAACAAAAATCCTCCCTAGTAGCAGAACAGATCTGCAGGTTCAGACTACCAAATCCATTCTGTGCGCGCTCCCCCGCTTTCAGACATCCGGCCATGCTCAATGACTGCGCAGGAAACTGAAAACAGCATTTGTGATGTGGTGCCTTTTTAACCCAGCTCCAAGTCGTCCTGTGACGGGATACGTATGGCTGGGGAACGCCTGACAGATGTGGCTGTCTGACTGAGCCCATTTGATCCGGAGGGGAGGAGTGGCTGTGTCGGGCCAAACTGCCCCCTGTGATCACGGCCATACAGTCAACAGTCCCTGTTCTGTATCTCCCTGTAAAGTGGGTCCCTGAGCAGAGAGACTTCACTGGTGCCACCCTGTGGTGAAGGGCAGAAAGTTGTGCCCAACTAAACCAGAGTTAACTGGAAGCATTTCTTTCCCTGCTGTACAGCATGCGAAAAGGAGTATGTGGCGGTTGTCACCTCGGATTGTTATCTGACCTTCCACAAGCTGATCCTGCACCTCCAAGGAGATAAAGAGTATGTTGTTTCAGCTGAAATGTGCAGTAGTGTTTGGCATTGCCCAGTGAGGTGGGATGAGGGAAGGATTTCCACATTTGTTACACACGTCACAGTCTGCACTTCGGAACACAGCTGCTTAGCGAAATAGACAAGGACAGACAGGCAGAGTCAGTGGTGTGAAGTTCTGGGCTGAAGCAATGCCTGTGCATATGGGGTTATGTGTGTATATGCCTGAAGAACCAGTGCAGAGCAGTGGTTAAAAGCTGGAGTTATGGACCACTTGCCAATATGAGCCAGTTCTAGCAAGAACACAAAAAGAACCCTGCTGGACCAGACCAATGGTTCATCTAGCCCCACATCCTGTTTCCCATGGCAGCCAACTGGTTGCCTAGGAGGACAGACAAACAGGGCACGGTGGCCAATGCCTTCCCTTGATGTTCCCTTTTATGTACAGGTTTACCGTCCCTGAATGTGGAGGTTCCCTCTCATCCTTATGGCTAATAGCCATTGATGGACCTTTCCTTCGTGAATCTATCTACTCCTCCTTTAAAGTCATCTACACCTGAGACCATATCCACTAAAAGTTGATCTCAAAATTTAATTACCCATTGAGTAAAGTAGCATTTCATTTTGTCTCTTTACAGCCCCGGATGGCTAAAGCAACTTTTTACAAATTTCATCTCTTTTACCTTGAAGCTGGTTCTCAAAAGCCAGGTAAGAAGCATGCTGTACATATACGCCTCGGAGAGCGTTACGCTCTGAGAGTAGGGCTGCCAAGTCCCCCCGGAGGGGTGGATAATCCCCCGCTTTGGAGGCCCGATTTCCGCTGCCGCGGAATCGGGCCCCGGGGGGAACCCCATCCCGGCGTGCACGTCAGCCGGATGTGACGTGATGACGCCGGGCCCGCTGGAGGCGGGGCCACAGCCATTTGAGGGGAAACTTGCTTTTGGGATTACCACAAGCCACCCCAACATAGCAATAAAGGGTGATTTATTGTCATTTAATTCCTCCGAATACAACGCTCACCTAAGGGCTGCTTTTTGTGTCATCGAATGCCTGCAGGGAAGGCACAGAATCTGTATTTTGAACCTCTTCCCTCCTCTTTTTAGGTGTGTAAGGAAATAAACTTTGTCTCTCAACTGCTGGCCAAGTTTTTCCAGGACACAGGAGGTAAGAGAGCAACAGCAAAGCAACAAAACTCCCACAGCTGGGTGGTTTGGTTTGTCCAGCACCAAGTACTGAGTGCTCTTTCATTCATCTGTTCATGGTTAGGTTTTTCAAGAAACTGGGCAAGGCCTTCATTTTTCAGCTGGGCTTTGGGAGGTGCTGCTTTCTCTGTGTGTGTTCTTAAAATGTTTATGACATTAACTTTGTGCAGTTCCCCCTCCCCATCCCGCCTGTACTGGATCATGTAAATTTCATATAGCTTTGTATAGTCCCCTCTCCCTAATTGTGTCCCATACGCTGCGATCTGTCTTGAAACTGGCCAGATGCTGCTGGAAACTCAGGCCTGGCTTCTGACCATCAAATTCTGGCTGCGCCTTCTGTTTAATCCTGACCCTAATTCCTTTACCTTTTTAATGCTGACAGATCATTATGAACCTAATTGGCTGAAATTAGTCCCAAAAAAATTAGGTCCTTAGAAATACATCCAGAATTGCTTTACTTATCATCTGCCTCCACAATATTTTATACAATTAAACGCAGGCTTCTAGATATTCAGTTTCAGTGCCTGACTGAGGCAGCCAGGAAAACCTGTTCCCCAGTTCATCTGGGGTTATTCCAGACACTGGGCCAGACAGCTACTTATTTTTGTTCTCTAACTGATCACCATCAAAGAAGGGCATTTATGTTAGCCAGATTTAACATATTGCCATCGGCCATCTTCTCTGGAAGATGCCACAAAAAACCCTATGAACTTAGGCAATGCACCTGCGGTCAGGGTGCTATCGAAGCCGTTTCCCACGTTCTTTTAAATTGTCCATTTTATACTAAGATTTGAGAAAAATTTCTGGACACCCTTCTTTTTACATGGCGTGGTCTTCCTGAGAGTGTCAAGGTCCAGTTGCTACTCTCTGGGCAAAACGCTTCTATAACTTTTAATGTTGCTTGTTTTCTTCAATCTGTAATTCGAACCTGGGAAACTATCAATTGATCAGTTCTTTTTTTGTTGACTGTTTGACAGCCATACCTTTGATGTATTCCTAAATTTTAATGCTATCTTATCTCTGACATGCCAATAAAGTTTGTCTGTCTGTCTGTCCCCTCTGAAGAGAAGCAGAGAAGCTGGGATTGCCAGCCCTAGGCTGTGAAAGTCCTGGAGTTAGGGTTGCCAGCCCCCAGGGG